ACAGTTCGATTCGTAAATATGACAGAAATATTTCAAGCACCACGTGAGAACGTGCGAGGTTCAGTTGAATATAGAAAAGATACATAAACCCCTCAAATCATTCATCCGATAAGTCCTCAAAGTAGTTTTTTTTCTTCTCTTTTTAGAACTTTAAACTGTAGAAGAAGTGTTCAGTCGTTGTTATGATGGACGGGTATCTTAGCAACATAAGAGGGGATTGTTTTTCACACCAAAAACAAATCTCCAGTACTATTCATGGGGCCATGTAGTCCAAAAACAACTTAATACTTCACAATTCCAGTATTCTAATACGTTTTACCTAAAGTAGGAGCAATCTTTTCTTGAGCTGGTTGCTTCAATTTCTGTACAACCAGAAGCTTGCACAATGCATGACCTTTATGACGTCAAACATTAAGATCACAGGCTCTGCTATAAGGTCGCCATCTTTTGTGCAAAAATGGACCTTTTTGAGGATAATGGCTTGAAGGGTGTATTATATATTCAAGTAAAATACATAAAAGTATATATTTTTGTATAAAACATTTACAGGCTCAAAAAAAAAACAGCAACAAACTGAAACAGAAGAAATATAGGTTATGTGATCTTTTTTTTTTAGCATTTTTGATATACAACTAAAATCACGTAACAAAAATGTGAAATTTATTCTTAGTTTAAAAATATTACAGTTATTCAGTTATTACAGAAATCGTTTTACTTATCACGTAATTATATGCTGCACTAATTAAGCCTCAGTTGCATACTTTATGAGTATATAGGTATTTGGACTGCACATTTTTCCGGAAAAACGTCAAACACTGTTTGGCAAAAGAAATAAAGAAAAACCATTACTAGATGTATCCTAAAGAAAGTAGCAAGTCGGATGATTAATATTTTTGCACTGTGAATTTTTGTATAATAAAACGTGTAAAAACAACCATCACGAGGAATCAGTACTATACAATATTGAAAACAAATTCCTAAACTGAATATATATTATATCGTTTTTTGAAGTTACTTTCATTAACAGTGTTGGTTGAAATATTTGATATGTCTAGTTTTATTACGTCTTAATTTTATTTTTATTAGTATGATTTCAATATGAAGATCGTTTCCATTGTTAGCCTACTAGCATATGTATTTAGGACTAACCTAAATCTCCTAAACTGACCGAACCTCGCGGCATATTATTAGGTTTACGGCCGAAAATATCGTTAACAGCGACAGTACCCAGCTGATGAAACAATGCTTTATAATCTTTGTAAATAAGAACGTATAAACAGTATATTTAATTACCTATAGTCGTTAACAATACCAAATTGAATTATCTGTTTCGCTCTAAACAGATAACTTGCTCTGACCAGTTAATGAAGACACACGATAATGTGTCGTGCGGCCAAAAAAAAAAACCACAAAGGGAATCATCAATAGCCGCGGCTGTAATTACATTTAAAATCGCCCGAGAGATGATGCTATTAGCTAATAGTTTATACTTGAAAAAACAACAACTTAGAGCCATTCAACAGGCCAAACTTAGTCCGAAATTCTTCGTTTTCTTCTTCTTCATCGCACCAATAAACAAAAACAAAAAAATACTTTCCTTTAAATGGCTTCTTTCAAATTTGGTGCATAACTGGCATATACATTCCCCTAGCTTGACAGCAAATTTGGTTGTAGTATCTTATGTATTGTCGGAGATATAGGCAAAAATAAGTAAAATTACGCTAAAATCTGGTAAATTTTTATGCTCAACTGGAGAAAAGATGGCTTAATCGATCGCGCTGGGTATTCTTAACAGTGAGGCGTTTTTAATTTTATAAAAATCAGACGCAAAATCCGGAAGTTATAAGCCCCCAAACCACCATCGTGTAAAAATTTTCAGACGGTTTTTTCGTACTATTTTGCATCACACTTCAAACTAATAAAAATGCTTCCCGGTACGTGACTGCCCTTCATTTTTGGTACATAGCTAGCATATTTTATAGTATCACGTTATCTACTGTATAAAACTATACAAGGAACATGATATCTATTGAAAAAGGTGTGAACAAAAATTATAGCAACTGAAAGATATGAACTCAAAGTTATTGAAGTATTGAAGAAACCCACATGTGATTATAATGTCTCCAAATTTAACAGGTGCTTCATACTAATTATTCCAAACTATATCAAAGTATCAAACTTATATCCTTTGTGGTTATTTTTACCTAATGATATCTAATCATAAATAGCATAGCTGTAAAAATAAATAAATAAAAGGTGCACCCCCCCCCCCAAAAAAAAGAATTGGTACAGTTTGTTTTTGTTTTTTTGGAAT